ATTCATTAATTCTTCATGAAAAAGTCCGCACTAAAGTTACTTGTGGTTTGATCACTTCTACAATCTCTTTTTCTTTCCTGGCACTGTCAACCTTGCAGGCTCCATTGAAGTAGGGGGCGTGTTCATGGCCAGGTATTGCTGCTGCAGCTTGGGAATTAAAGGATTATTAAAGTAGTAAACTGCAATTTTTGATTGAGTCTACAATATTGTGTCATGGTTGTAATTAGTAAATTACAATAGGAGTCCTGAGGGAATCACGTATTAGAGCTTTGTGATTACTCAATTTGTTTGCTCGTGATTAATATTATTGCACTAAACATAAAAGGAAATGATTAACGACTTATCTACAAATTACTTCATACTGCTGGTAATGGTGCAGGATAGAAGGTAAATGTGCTTGGATACTGGTTTACATAATCAGGGAAACAAAATTTACCAGTGTTGGTAATTTTTCTGGTAAAATGATAAAAATAATTGTCCTTCAAGGAATAATAAATACATATAAATTTTATGCCATATAATTTCAAATCTATTTGTCAAAATACTTGCATATAACAAAAAAAAGAAAATATTGATGTTTCCTGTCAGACTTTGCAGCCTCCTAAGACACTTCACAAACTTAATTTCTGGCTTGCAGCAGAAACCAGCAGCAAAATATAATAAGGTTTAGAAATAGGCCTGTTTAAATAATAAATTACATAACCTAGATTTTCTCCTAGTACAGAATTGACTTTCAAGTGTGGATAGATTAGAAAATAAGATGGGTATATTTTGTATAATTTGTTACCAGCTAAATTTCTATTATTTTAAGTGCCTTAAAACAAATTGTAAGAGTCATTACATCAAGTATGCATTGTTTTTCTTATCAAACAACCAATGTTCTCTCATTTTTCTGCTGAAGGTTCTTTTAAGGATGAATTAGAGGACAACTTAGTGGTCATCCTGATTAACATGTGAAACCTACAGTAGAAGGCAGCCAGACCTGGTAGAGTTTGTGACTCAGGGAATTTTTCCTCCTGGCCATGTAGAGAGGACCTTTGTCCCTGTCAGACCTTGTGGTGTCTGCCATCCAGGACTCAGGGCTTCAGGGGCTCCCTGTGGCCATGTCCCATCAGCAGTGAGGTGGAGAACACATCACTTGCCTTCAATTAGCCTCTCTTGTCCCAGCTCTTCTGCATTTCCCATGCTTGTTTTCCCCATCCATCTGCATCCCTCCCTTTCTCCACCTGTGTTTCATCCCAAACAAACACCTTGTTGTTAACTATACTTTCCCTACTGGACTCACTTTTTTCACACCTGTACTCCAGTTTGGTATCTCACAGATTGTGGTTGCTGAGGGTTTGATGACCTTGCTATATCTCACTTCTGAAAGATCCCCAGCTGACCCTGCAATTATTTATGAGATTTGGCCATGTCTCCCCTCACTGGTGTGCAACTATGTGCAAAATCTGGCCATTATTCACAGTGCAGCCCATAACACTTGTCAGCTTCTCCCTCTGTTACCTGTCATACCCAGCAATTTCTCTTGCCATGTCCAGCAGCTTCTCATGGCCAGTTTAGTTAGTTAAGCCCCAGGCCATGTCCTAACATGTGTCTGTGTACATTTATTGTGCTCACTCCTCGCAAGAATTTCACTTATGTTTGCCTGCTGGAATGAGTTAAGAATAGACCTTTTTGTAGCCAGACAGGATTAATCATTTTTAACACTTCCTGCTCAGCATCAGAGCACACAAGAAATGAATAATTGAACAGTACATCTTCTCAAAAGACCTTCATATTCTCATTTTAAAAGGGTATTTTAATTTGGAAATTAGATTTAGAATAGGAAAGTGATGCTTTTTGTAGGCAGAAGGAGAAGCAGATCAAAGTTTGTGTACGACTAAGCATCTAAATTTCCAGTATGGATGAATATTCTTTTGAAATATCAGCATATAAATGGAAATCAAACAATTCAAATGTATTAGATAATGCACAGGAGAAAATGAAGAAGCAATGTCAATATAATAAAGGTATGCCTTACATTTGAAAATAAGATTTATTTCATGCTTTGCTTATGTTATAGCAGTAGAAACATCACAGCAAGTAACTTTATCAAAGAAAAAAGAAAGAAATAATCAATCTAACAAAAAAACAAAACAAAACCAGGGCTAGATATTTACAAATTTATACAATCAGTTCAAGTTTTGAGGTTAAGATAAGTTTAGAATACAATTAAAGAACATAATTTCTTTTTTTGCTAACAGAGTCATTTAGCAAGGATTTTCTCTGAAAAGATATTGATGCCTTGCCTAACCTTTCTAATTGCTAAACTGAAATGCCACCTATGATTTAATTATGTGCATATACAAATTTAATGATCTTTAAGAAAGACTTCTTGGCTTTAGTCTAAGAAAAAAATAGGATTTCCATTTCATCTAAATCACAATATTTTGAAGACATTTATACTTTTCTCAGTATTATTGATCTATGTTTCATTAATAATATCATTCACATTTGAGATTTTACTAGTGAAACATAAAATAATCAAACATGTTATTTTTTTATGCTAAAACCTCTGATAATTTAGAGGGTCACAAAGCCCTGATATGACTAGGCAGTAATACCAAAATTTTTCATCATTAGATACATCAATAATATCAACTAGAATATATTTTACACATGAAAATTTCACCAGTGAATGCTAGTTAGACTTAACTGATCCTGAAATCACTTTGTGTATAAAAAAAGATAAGAAAATATTTTCCTAGCTACTATCATAATTTTCCCCAATAGCAATATTTTCAGAAGATGTTGGATCAAAATGATATTTGCCTGACATAGTTGAAGTGCTTTTCAATGCATACAGAGTCTCCAGTTGTGTACTTCACTGAACCCCTCGTTTGTAAGACAGGTCTAGGAACACAATTTATTTCAACCAAGGTGCACTTGTTACGTGTATAATTATTTACACAGAGGATAGTGTTATTTTAATTCTCTTTGCCTAAAACCCCACTGATAGGTCCAAATTAAAGGGAAAAAAATATGAAGTGGAGGAGTTTTTAATAAGTGTTCAGTCCACTAAAGTGATAGAAAGGTGAAAAAAGGAAAAAAACCTGAAATTTGAGCAGGTGCAACAATGTGTAAAGTTTGGAGAGTTCAGTAGCCTGATCTCCTGTGCTGTACTTACCTGACACCTGCACCACCTCAGCATCTTGGTTGGTGTCTACAGCAGTTAGAGAGCAGCATCATGTTCCCAAGGCAATCAATACTGTGGAATAGCCTGTTCACTCCAAGGCACAAGTCTTCAACAAACCATGTGGACTTTTCCCTATGTTTTATGGTTAGCTTTATATATTTCTCATTATTCCTACACAGTTTAAATTTGCAAGCAAGTCCATGTGTTGTTTCTTCTGAACAACTATGTCCAGAAAAATGTAAAAAAAAAAATAAAAACCAAATAAAACATGCCTATTTTTAGAAATGAAAGCTGGTGGGGGTTTTTAATTGTGCTGGAAATTCTTCTTAGTTGCTTAGCAATTTTTTCATCTCTCTCTGAACCCCATGCTTGGAGCTGTGATGCTGACCCTGCACCTGCCTGCAGAACTGCAGATGGCTGGTGTAACACCAGCTATTGACTTCAAAACAGGAAGAAGGAGGAGGAGAACCAGATTGCTTGTGAGATGAACACACAATTTCAAAATGCTAATTATAGGTTCCCTAAAATATTATGAAGTCTTGTGCATTTGCAACTGGGATTCATCTTCATGCAGCATTAAAGTCCTAATGCATACCTTTGGTGAAGGAAGGAAATCTGGTCAGAAATATTTTAGTTGTACACTAAGTGACTTGCTGTGTTATTCAATAGTATATTCAGCTTCTTTCAGTGTAAGAGTCAGATGCAGGAGGGAAAACAGCATATACAGTAGCTTAAATAATGATACAAGTATGTATCTATTTTTTTTCTAGTAACGAAGCAGAACCTCAAAGAAAACATAACTCTAATAAACTCAATATCTTCAGCTTTTACAAAAAACCCCAAGGAACTTAGATAAAGATAAAGGCTATATTACTGACCTTATGCAGTTAACGAGAGAATATTTAATTAAGAATAATGGACTATTTAAGGCCTAGAAATAGAACACAATTTGGTATCTTTCCAAACATATAAAATGGCAGAGCAATAATAGCCCTACCAAGCAAAATAATTACCACCTTTATGATAGAGGTTCACATTGTGAGTACAAAGACACACACATACATATGCATAATAAAAATTTGAGAAACAGTGTTTTGAACTGTGTTCATATTCTATTTTAATATATAAAATATTTCTAGTCTCTGTTACCTATATATGAAAAATGCTTAAAAATATGATTGCAACATCCTGCAGAACTTCATATTTCTGAGTGTAGAATTCAAGGCTAGTTGACACACTCTTATTAGGAGTTTGAAATCATCCTCCTGAATCTGAAGAAGATACTTAATTTTTTTTTTTTTGTACTTAAACTCTACCTTGAAATGTTAAGACTCATTCACGGAAACTATGTGTTCAGTCTCTTTCACTACCTTTACAGTAAAATGGAAATTACAGAGAGGTGCAGAGGTCTAGAGAATTAAATCACCTTGTTTGAAGTAAAAAATGCTGGATTTTAAGTGCATGATCCATTGAGGCATTTGTCACGATCCGCTTATAGCGAGGTGTCGTGATGGTTCGTTAGCCAATCCCAAAGTGCAAAAGACAAACAGCAGGGGACTATCAGTTTAATCACAACACATGCACCTTTATTAAGGGCCAAAACAATAACAATAAATGCAATAGTGGGGTCAGAAAAGAAATAAAAAGGAGAGAGAGAGAGAAAGAGAGAGAGAAGGGGGGATGGGAATAGCTACCAACGCAGACGAGGTCCTCAGTGGTCCGGACAATGGGGATCCGTCTTGTTGTGTTGGGGAGAGTCTCCAAAGTCCTGCCCAACCCAGGGGTCCAGTTATAGTCCCCCGAGGGAAAAAGGGGGGGAACATACCTATTGAAATTGCTATTGGGGGAACAGGTGTATCTACAGAAAATCATCCAGGCTGAACAAACACAATGAAGAATAAGTCCATTGAAGTTACTGGAGAAGAACAGGTCATGTCATTCCCCCACCCGCCCCCACCACCACTCTCTGTGGTAGGGGTCTCAGTCTCAGTCCTTGGGGAGAGTGTTCTTGATCTCCGTCTGTCACGGTGGTAACGAGGCAGATGAGGGGTCTGCAGTGACCACCAGAGTCACCCCAACAGTTCATTGGGCTTAAAAGTGGAGAGTGAAGCAGGAATTGCAGTAGGCCGCTCTGTGCTGGGTCCATGCTGGGTCTTCACCAAGTCCTTGCCACCTCCTTGCCAAGTTCTTGCCAGGCCTCGTTCGGAACAGAACGTAACGGTACAGCGGCTGCACCTGCACTGTTGCCTTCTCCAAGCCGGAACTGTTGTGGGGGAAGGGAGCTCCTTCTCATGGCAATCGGCAGGCAAATGAGTGAGGGTCTTCAGACGGCCTCTTACAGCATTTCCTATGTCAAAGAAAATATCTAAATTAGAGGAAATAGGTGGCTCATGTACATGCTGTGCCTCACACTAAGATAAAAAACACAGGAATTCCTTTCCATTTGAGGAAAGGAAATCCAGGTGTGCAAACTGTACGTGACCTCTAACTGACATGTTCAATGCCTAAAACACTTGGAGACCACAATATGTCATGGACTACATGTTGCCCTAATTGGTCTAAAAGCATTCTTTGAAGTGAACATTGATATAGAAAAATTTAAACCTGCACTTTTTTTTTACTGTAGTTATTGTACCTTAGGCCCTTGGATGTGGAAGTTCAAAGGTCAGCCCAACAACTGCAGCTCCTTTCACTGCTGGATTTAGGGCACTTGAACCTGATTGAGCTGCCCCCTTTTATCCCAAGGAGTATCATGGTGGAGGAGACCACACTACAATTTGATGTCTGCCCATATTACAGAGATATTGTGCAACCCCAATCCCCCATTTTTAACACTTTTTTTGGTAAACTTTTGTTCAGGCCTTTAATTACTTATAAATGAAAATACATCATATTATCACTTGATATAATAAGATATTTAGACCACATAAGCCACTTTAGCTCCATTTTTTAATGGCAATAGAAGGAAGAAATATTTAATTCAAAACGTCTCAAATTTAACAGGAAATAATAAATTCAAAAATGCAGAACAGAAATTATTTGTGTTAATTTTATATATTTGTTGATCATACTTAAATTTATTTTGACAGACTTTCTAGTTCTTCTGTTCTAAATTATCTTGAATATTATTAAAATAATTAGAGTAAACATAAATTTAACAACAAACTTTGACAATCCTTAATTCCAGTCTAATTATGTTTTTTGCTCTAAATTGTACCAAAGAACAAATGCAAGATTTGCATCTTAAAAGATTTTTTTAAAACTACTTTTACTTATAGTCATATTTTCTCATATATACAGAGCCATAGTTCAGGGAATATTATAAATACACAGAACCCTACAGGCCCTGAGAAAAGATATTTACTGGTGTTGCTTATAAGCCCCTTTAAGTACTGAAGGGCCACAATAAGATCTTTCTGGAGTTTTCCCTTTTTCAGACTAAATATCAACTCCCTCATACTTTCTTAGCAGGAGAAATATTTCAGACCTTTGGGGATCTCCATGACCCTCATTTGAACCTGATGTAACATGCATTACTGGTTTCTATTTGGACACTGAGAATATTTATATGCCTATATATTATTTTATGTGCTCATATATGAACAATAATAAACTTCTGGAGCTTTTCAGCTTGCATACGTATGTACATGTATTTAAAATATACATACTTTGCTTCAAGAGATATTTTTCTAAAGTTTTTTTTGTAAACTTCTGTAAGGTATATTCCCCATTTTTTTGGGGAAGGATCTTCAAACCACAACTTAGACAGCTACTCCAGCAACTATCACTCTGCTGTTTGCAGCACAGTATAATCTTATTTTTCTTGTGGGTATCAAAGAGAATGTAGGCAGAGTTCTGACATCCTGTGAGTAAGATACCAAAGTCAGCATCAGCGGATGTAGCAGCTAAACAAAAACCTCTTAGTGAAACCTGAAACATCCAGATTTTTATACATGCAAACCCAGCTCTGCTCCTTTGTTTTCATTGCTTATCTCTTCAGGATGCTTACGGGTCTCAGTAATGTCTCCTGACATAAAGTCCTAGGGTCAGCATCAAATCCCATTAAAATGATCTGAAAGCCTCATTTGAGTTGAATGGGTTTTAAACCAGACTTTTGTTAGACTTACCTAGTAGAATAATAAATATTCATAGGTGGATGCAAGAAGAGAAAATCTCTCTAGTTTTGAGTCCAGCAGGAAGATAATTTGATTGTTGCAGGATAATCTCCTTGTTGATCGAGAAAGACTCATGGAAATTTACTGTTAGGGCATATGCAGGACATGGGCAGGTAAATAAGGTACTTGAGAAAGAAAATCATAGTAGCATTTGCCACAGCATCCAAAGCAATCCCTGAAAGATATTTTGATTTCTTATGCTTTCTTTAAACTAAGTATAATTAGAATTATTGTGAATATTAATTGATAGTTTTTAACAAGCTATCTGACTACTAAGTATCATAAACTGACACAGTTTAGGTAACCAAAAGTAAAGCAAAGACATTTCCAATTCTTCTAGTTTTTCTCACTATTCACAGCAATTCCATTTATAATATGCAGCTGGCAATGATACGATCTGTTTCATCCTCATGTCATATAATAAAGTCTTACTGACAGTGGGGAAATAAATATTCTCTTTTGTACATAGAATTGAAAGACTGGTTAGAGTGGAGACTTGGCTAGAAAGCCTCAGCATGCCTTTTTAATACATGGACTTTTCACTATGCAGAGTGATTAAGATAGGGAAAGGCAAAAAAATTGAGAGAAGTGGAGGTGAAAACATCATATGCTATTAAGAAAACAGGAAATTGGTGGGGGAGACTCTATTTCTGCCCCAACACAGGCAAAAGGTGTGTCAGGGTGCAGAAGTTGCACAGTTTTGACAATATTAGTCAATATTAGTTTCATATTAGAAGCATTCAAACCACTTTTAAAATGTGGTGCTGTGTTTCTGGAGTGCTAACTCAGACAGCATGCTAAAGACAGCACACAATAATGATATCCTTTGTGTAAACAGAGGCTTCTTTCTTCCATCACTGATCACAGAGTCATCTGCAGGTATGGAAGGGCTCAATACAGGCTGAGCACCCACCTTTGAGGATTAGCACAGTGGAAAAACCCCACGTGTTAGCTCCTGTTGTGGTTTAAGCCCAGTATGCATCTGCCCCACACAGCCCTTATCACTGCAGGATGTGCTGCGCCCTGCAGCTCCAGGGGAAGAGAGCAAGGAGGGTAAAGCAAGACAACTCATGGGATGAGATAAAGGCACTTTAGTAGGTAAAGCCAAAGCTACACATGCAAGCAAAGCAAAAGAAGGAGTTGATTCACTGCCTCCCACGGCTATGCAGCTGCTTGGACCTATCCCCAGGAAAGCTGGGCTCCATCATGCATAATGGTGACGGACTTTGAAATAGAAATGCCATAACTGCAGATATCCTCCTTTTTCTTTGTGATGTGAAACATCTCTTTGGCTAGTTCTGGTCATCTGCCTGGTCATGTCCCCTCCTAACCTATGGCATATCCCTCAACATCCTCCTCTGTACAGCATGAGGAAAAAACTTTAATTGACACTGATTAGGCACTGCTCAGCCATGGCTAAAAGATCCCTGTCTTATCAACACTGCTTGGGTGACACAATCTAAGCATAGCACCATACCAGACACTCTGAGGAAAATTAGCTCAATCCCAGCCAAAACCATCAAGATTCTCAGAGGGCAGGATTATGTTGTGCTGCCATTTTTTGACACGACCTTGTAACAGCAAAGTACTCACAGCACAGCAGTGCATTTTGCATCATAGGCACAGTGTGTTATTGCTTTTGTCACTTAATTCCCTTCCCTCAATTGAAATGCTACGTGTTTATATAATATCTTCTAAGTGTATTCAAAAAATAGGTGAAAAATTATGCTATGACATGCCTAAGGAGCTACAAATTGTAATGCACACTAATAACTGTAGGCCTGTCTAGGTAGAGAAGTAAATGCACATTTTATTTTCTTCTTGTCATCACTATTCACCCTTCAGTGGATTCACCTGGCCTAATATAAGTACACAGTTGTAAATGCAGTTTCAAAATAGGGTGTAAGTGACTATTTAAATACAGTCATAAACATCTGTACCAACAAAAAGAGAAACTTAAATGACACTAATTGTCACCTTATCTGCTAGTCTTAGCAGAAAGAGAAAGCAACAAATTACTCTGTCTCAGATGCTCTATCAGCTGTAGGCATCCTCCCCTATTAACAGACAGTAATTTTATTGGTAGGATGAGAATATTACACTAACTCCATAGCTGCATGTGCCATGGACAAGAAAACAATTTTTCTCTTTTCATTTGTGTCAGTTCAGTGTCTGTCTAAGGAGATGATTCATTGAAATATTGTAAATTTTATTTTGAAAACTGTATCACAAGGAAAAGCCCAAATTCCATAAGTGTTTTTAACAGTAGCCAGTGATCTCCTTCACTATTGTTATTAGATTTAACATTCAAATTTGTTTTGATTGAAAACCAAAAATTCTTTTCCTTTGAAAATCTAGATTACATGCTCACAAAACATTAATAAACATCCACCCCAGTTTTTAGACAGATTTAATTAGTATTCTCTTTACTTAATTTAAAAAAAACAACAACACAATATTCTCTTTTAGTTAAGGCCCTTGAATATACACAGACTAGAAACAAACATGTGATAAAGACAATAAATTGAGAGCTTAATTAATTGAACTTGGGCTGACTTCTCATTAAGAATGTTCAGGATTTTAGACTGATATGTTCGACACTTTGATGTAAGACATTTCTCTTTTAAGTATTTGTCAGTGCTGAAGATTAAATATAGCTGCCATGTTGCCTTCTCGTGATGAGTAAGAATTAAACTAATTTTTGCAATAAAAGAAAGTTACAAGTCGGCCTTTTAAGAAAAGGACATCATGAACAGAAGTAAATTTTTATTGGTCCTGCCAGCAGATCAGCTCCTATCCCTGTGAAGTTGATGTGCTCTACAGACTAGTGGGGATATATAGCGCAATAAGGATATTAGATAAGGATAAGGTAGTATTAACACTACTGGAATAAATGGAAGCATAAAGACATGAAGAACAAATAGAGCATGTGCTAAAATTCTATATTGAGGTAAGAAAATTTCCTGAAACCCAAGTGAGGTTAGGGATAAATGCAGCGATCAAGTTTTAAAATATATATTGATAAAAATTTTCACCATGGGCGTTTCATGAAGGAGTTAATCCTATCAGACAGCTTTTATTTTCTTATCCAGGATATTTTTATATGATACATTAAGTCTTTGCCCATACACTTAAATTAATAAGAAAATACAACTAAACTGA